AAAAAAAAAAAAAAAAAATTAATATAGGTAATCTTATGTTCTCTTAAATAATAAAAGTAATTTATACATATTTAATAAGAGTGTCTTAAACCTTTCAAGTTAAATCTAAATCAAAATCCCACTTACACTTGTAAAATTAGAATCACAAGATTAACCTATGAATCATTCTATCTCTTATACAATACAACTAAAAACTGGATATGTACAGGTAATTTATAAATTAAACACAAAATTAATTTACTTAATCGTCTCCATAGTTAATGCCACCATTTCTCAAGATGAAGGACATTGATCTATTAAAGAGATTAATATCTTTCCCAGATGAGCTGGGTTGTACCTGAAGCAGGGATTTCGGTGGCGACTGAGAGTAGAGCTGGATCCACCTGGGTGATTTGTCTCATGTCATTGCATGACAGGCGGAGAGGAAACAGGGATTCTAAGAATATGCCCCCCAGATGCCTATACTCCCTATCTGGCAGAACCACAGCTCTTAGAGTGTTTCAGAGACAGCCAGTTGGAGTTTTGCATAGCCGCTGTGCCTTTGTCTGGTGTCGAGGTCCCACTTCTCAGGTCACCAGAAGTAAGAGTAACAACTGGTAATGTGTATCCAGCACTGAATATGCATCAGGCACTATTCCGAATACCTTTAAGGTATAGTAACTTCTTCTTTCATCTTCATGAAGACCCTACGAGGTAGGCATGATGATTATTCCCATTTTATAGGTGGACGAATGGAGGGACACAGAGGTCATTTGACTTGCTCAGGGTCACACAGCTAATAGAAGGCAGAGCCTGGATTTTTTAAAATTTTATTTTTATGATTATATATATATATTTTTTAAGATGGAGTCTCTGTCTGTCACCCAGGCTGGAGTGTGATCTCGCACCACTGCAGCCTCCACCTCCTGAGTTCAAACGATTCTCTTGCCTCAGCTTCCCAAGTAGCTGGGATTACAGGCGCCCACCATTATGTCCATCTAATTTGTTGTATTTTTAGTAGAGACAGGGTTTCACCATGTTGGTGGGGCTCGTCTTGAACTCTTGACCACAGGTGATCCTCCCGCCTTGGCCTCCCAAAGTGTTGAGATTACAGGCGTGAGCCACCCTGCCTGGCCAAGAGCCTGGATTTAAACTTAGACTGTCTGGCTCATTAGTTCTTGTTCTTAACCCCTACCCCATCAGGCCTTCTGTCAGCCAGGTTGGTGGGACAGCAGGGATTTGGATTCAGGCCTGCTAGACTCTGGTCTTTCTGCTGTCCTGTGCTGCAGCAGCTACTGGAAAGACACAAGGAGTGGGAGTTCCCGACTCTCTTTCTGACTGGACAGTTGGGAGCGGGGTTCCTGGCTGCCCCGCCCTCCCCTCTGCCCATGCTCATAGTTACTTCTTTCACATGGGCTTGTCGCTCCCTTATATCGAGGCCCAGAGTAGGTCCTGGGAGCTTAATGAAGGGTGTGAATTTCACTGTCAGTCTAGTGTCACATTATAAGGCAGCCAGAGGGTGGAGCTGGGGCCTGGCCTGCCTCTCATTAAAGGTGCGCTCCCGGGAACCTGGCCTCAGGCCTGCCTGTACCCTCACTCTCTCCCTGTCCTTTCCTGTCTACCCCTAGTGTTCCACTGCAAGCCCACTAGAGTGGTGACAAGCTACCAGCCGAAGAATCCACGAGAACTACATAGAAGGCAGAAGTTGGACCCTGGGAAGATGCAGGCCAAAATCCAGTTAATGAAGGTATGAGGCACATCTTCCCTGGACACTGGGCCCAGGGCGGGGACGGGGATGATGGCTCTAGCAAACATGTGCTGAGAACTTTGTGGGTGCCAGACTTGACTCATTTCTTCCTCACAGGAACCATGCGAGCACGCTTATCCTCGTTCCTATTTTACAAACCGGGAAACTGAGGTGCAGGGAGATAAATGACATGCACCAGGTCACACAGTCAGGAAATGGCCGGATCAGGGGTCAAAGCCAGTTATACAAAGCATTTGCTGTTCTGTTTAAGACTCAAGAAATTATCAGAATTGCTTGTTATTTTGTTGCATTAGGAACAGGATCTAGTGGCTTCTTTATCTTAAAATTTCCAGTAACTTGGCTGGGTGTGGTGGCTCATGCCTGTAATCCCAGCACTTTGGGAGGTCTAGGTGGGTGGATCATTTGAGGTCAGAGTTCGAGACCAGCCTGGCCAACATGGTAAAACCCCATTTCTACTCAAACTACAAAAATTAGCTGGGTGTGGTGGCACACACCTGTAGTTCCAGCTACTCAGGAGGCTGAGGCAGGAGACTCGCTTGAACCTGGGAGGCAGAGGTTGCAATGAGCTGAGATGGTGCCACTGCACTCCAACCTGGAGGACAGAGTGAGACTCCATCTCAAAAAAAAAAAAAAACAAAATATAACAAAAATTCCAGTAAATTAAACTTTCATACAGTGTACTTTGAAGCAAGCCTTAGAAACTGACAATTAAAATTTTCACATCAATCGATACAATTGTAGGTAATTAATTTCCTTGCTATACATTGTTTTATGGCTTCTGGAATTATCTGAACAATGTTTCAAAGTATTTGAAATGCCTAGAGGAAAACAAGTCCTTAGCATACATAGCAGAAAGTAAAATACTAAGTATTATAAAGACTACAAAATACTATAGAATAATTCTTCAAGAAAGTTTCTAATAGCTCAATGAACAATGACTACTATATAAAGAACAAGGGAAAATATAATTTGCTTTGAAACTTTTTTTTCCCCTTTAACCTTTTATCTTGCAAAATGGTTTAGAGGTGGCCCAGTATTCTTAAAGGAGGAACTCATATTTCTGTTATTTTTATTTTTTTTGAGACAGAGTTTCACTCTGTCGCCCAGGCTGGAGTGCAGTGGCAAGATCTCAGGTCACTGCAACCTCCACCTCCCAGGTTTGAGCAAGTCTCCTGCCTCAGCCGCCTGAGTTGCTGGGATTACAGGTGCCCACCACCACACCCAGCTAATTTTTTATATTGTTAGTAGAGACGGGGTTTCACCATGTTGGCCAGGCTGGTCTCCAACTCCTGACCTCAGGTGATCTGCCCGCCTTGGCCTCCCAAAGTGCTGGGATTACAGGTGTGAGCCACTGTGCCCGGCCATTTCTGTTATTTTTATCCTAACTTTAGAGGGGTTTATGTGTTTTTGATTGATATAAAAGCTGAACCTGGACAATTTGGCTCTAAAACTTGTGCTCCTAACCAGTCCAGTTCTTAATACTGTCTCTTACCATCTTTCATTCATTTAGTGAATCAACAAATATTGATTGAGCACCTACCATGTGCCAGGTTCTGTTCTGAGTGGGAGGATTCACCAGTGATGTGGCCTCTGATCTTAGGGAACTTACATTCTATTGGATGGGGGAGACTGACAATCAACAAGAGAAAGATATTTGAAGTGATGATAAGAGCGAAAGAGAAGCCTAAGAATAAGGTTGGGGGCTAGAGGCACGGAGGAGAGTGTGGCAGTAATTGTTTTAGGTAGGGTGCTAATGAGAGGCTGCTAAGGTGGGTGACATTTGAACTGAAACCCTAGTGCTGCTGTTTCAGTGGGCCCAGGACTTGGAGAATAATGTTTTTCACAAGATACTTCTGGGTATTTTGGTCTGGTGATGTGGAGACAAGATAGTGGAGTGGCTAGGAGCCTGGACTTCAAGGATGACAGCTCTGCTATGTGTGACCTTGGATAAGTCACTGAATTTAATCCTTAGTATCCACATTGATTGATTGAGACAGGGTCTCGCTGTGTCATCCAGGCTGGAGTGCAGTGGCATGATCATGGCTCACTGCAGCCTGGACTTTCCAAGCCCAAGTGATCCTCCCACCTCAGCCTCTGAGAGTAGCTGGGACTGTAGGCATGCACTACCATGCCCAGCTAATTTTTGTAGAGATGGGATCTCCCTTTGTTGCCCAGGCTCTAATTCCTGGGCTCAAGTAGTCCTTCTACCTTCCTCTTCCAAAGTGCTGGGATTACAGGTGTGAACCACTGTGCCTGAGTGCTGTCCGCTTTTGTAAAGTTGGCCTAATAATAGTGCCCATCTCTTAGGGTTGCTGTGAGGGTGATGTGCTGATGTGCTGCAGTGCATATGAAGTGCTTAGCACAGTATCAGCCGCATAGTAAGCACTCAATACATTGGCATGATTACTGTTATATGAGAAATAAAGGAGCTGAGGAGTAGGAAGGGGTAGTTTTTAGTAAAGGATAGAGAAATGAGGAAGAACAGGAATAAATAAAAGAGCAAATATTTATGGCAGGGGTAGAGGGTTAGAGCCAGAAGTATCACCTGTTGTTCACTGAGTGCATATGAGTGCACTCTCACTAAGCAGCTTGATTGTAAATTTCATCTCATTTATTTATTTATTCTTTGTTTTTTTTAAAGACAGGGTCTTGCTCTGTCACCTAGGCTGAAGTGCAATGGCACAATCATAGCTCACTGCAGCAGTAAACTCCTGGGCTCAAGAGATTCTCCTGCCTCAGCCTCCCAAGTAGCTAGGACTATAGGTGCACACCACCATGCCCAGCTAACATTTTAATTTTTTTAAAATTTTATTTATTTATTTACTTACTTTTTGAGACAAGTTCTTGCTCTGTTACCCGGACTGGAGTGTGGTGGCACAATCTCAACACTGCAGCCTCGATCTTCTCGGCTCAAACATTCCTCCCACCTCAGCCTCCTGAGTAGCTAGGACTGTGGGCGTACACCACCACGCCCAGCTAATTTTGTTTATTTTTTGTAGACATGAGGTCTCACTATGTTGCCCAGGCTGGTCTTGAACTCCTGGCCTTGAGTGATCTTCCCACCTGGGCCTCCCAAATTGTTGGGATTACAGGCGTGAGCCACCGCACCTGTCCAATCTCATTTATATTTTACGGCAGTTCTCTAAAACAGGTATTAGTTTCCCTACCTTTAGAATGAATATAAGGAGGCTCTGAAACATTAACTAACTTGCCCAGATTCTTTTAGATGGTAAGTGGCTGAGCTGGGATTTGAACCAAGGTGTGTCTAGGTTCAACATCCAAGTCTTAGTCACTACGTGGTTCAGCCATGCCTTGCAGTTTTAAGGCTACGCAGTTCTTGTTTTAGCATAGTGGAAAGACAGACATTGGGACTCAGAAGTCTGGCTTTCCGGTTCCAACCCTGCCACTTCTTGACTGTGTGACACTGGGCAAGTCATTAAACTCTCTGAGCCTCCACTTAATCAGCAACACAGAGTTAGTAAATGTAGAGCTGTTGGCAGGTGAACCGATACCATGTGCCACATGCGGAGCAACGCATGGCAACTGGCCTGGCATGTAGAGGGCCCTCAGCAATTGTTATTGTTACTGTAGATTTTATGCACCTGCTGGGTGTAATCTTAGGGGAGTCACTTAACTCTCAGACCCTCCTTGTTCCATAGGGGGCTGTTATGTGAAATGAGAGTACTCATTAGCTCCACGGCCTGCCAGGAAATGCTGACGTTTATCATCCACTTTGCCTCCCCTGCTTCTCCTCTAGACATGGTGGTCGCTCTGCCACCTTCTTACCTACCTGGGGCGTTTGTTACTATTGTTGGGATGGAATCTTCCTCTGTCACCCAGGCTGGAGTGCAGTGGCACGATCTCAGCTCACTGCAACCTCCGCCTTCCAGGTTCAAGCGATTCTCCTGCCTCAGCACCCCCAGTAGCTGGGATTACAGGCATGCGCCTCCACGCTCGGCTAAGTTTTGTATTGTTAGTAGAGACGGAGTTTCACCATGTTGGTCAGGCTGGTCTCGAACTCCTGACCTCGTGATCGGCCCACCTTGGCCTCCCAAAGTGCTGGAATTACAGATGTGAGCCACCCTGCCCGGCCCTTATTATTATTTATATATTTCATTGATTCTGAGAAGCCATTGATATTAAGGCACATCTTTATTTACCCACTAATAATGTATTTGTTGATTATATGGTGACACGCCACCAACTGTAAGATGCAGCCGCACCTCAAGGATGTGAAATGATGGGTACACGTGCGTTTCCGAAGGGAGGAGAGTCCCGGAGCTCCCGGGCGGCGCAGACAATGGGGAACCGCCGCCCAGCTTGGGCCGCATTTACCAGCAGAAGGCCGCAAGGGGGCGGGAGTCTGGCGGGGTTGGGGCGGCGGTCCACGGGCTTTTGGGGACTCCGGCCGGGCAGGGCGCAGCGCCGCCTCTCTACTCTTCCCTCCGCCCGCAGATGATGCTCAGGAACGGGAGGACCGCTCTGCGAGAGCTCCAAAGCCATGAGAACTTCCTCACCAAGCTCAACGAGGAGCTGATCGAGACTATCCAGGACATGGAGAACAGCACGACCCTGAACGTGCGGGCCCTGCTGCAGCAGCAGGACATCCTAGCGGTGAGACCCGCGCCTCTGCCCTCGGTGCCGGCAGTGCCCGCGGCATCCACCCGCCCTCCTTCCCTCCCTCCACGTGCTCGTGCGCCCTCTCCTGCCCTTCCCTGCCCATTGCACATGCCGCTTCCTCCAACTGGAAGACGCATTTCTTCAACTTCACTCCCCTCACCTGGGCTTTGCAAGAGGACCGAGATGGGAGTTTCATCCCAACGCGCCAGCACTCACTGGCCAGGAGACTTTGAGTTAACTTTGCCTCCCTGAGCTCTGTGAAATGCGGCACAATAGCACCCGTCCCAGAGGGGGTTTACCTGGCACGTATTGTACCCGTGCAAGAGGTAGCTGCTACCACCACCAGCATTTGCAAACACCTCTACGTGTAATAGCAAGCGATCTGTATGTATTTATATAGTCCTTACAACAATCCTAAGGGTGGACTCTGTTATTGTCCCGATTAGCCTCTGGTCAGGTTTCTGGGAGTGAGGTTGGGATTCGGGACTCCTCTGAGGAAGTGCTGGGTGGCCGCTTCTGAGAGCCAGCAGAGCCTGTGGGTGAGTTGACCCCACCCCTCCCACAGACCATCATCGACATCTTGGAGTATTCAAACAAGAAGAGGCTGCAGCAATTGAAGTCTGAGCTTCAGGAGTGGGAAGAAAAGCAGAAATGCAAGATGAGCTGTAAGAATCCCTGGGCGAATTCCGTGACCCTCCCCGTGGCACCTTGGGGAAGTTAGCAGCACAGCATTCATCTTGTACTTGCCATTCAGAAACCCTCAGCCCCATCGTCTCTCTTCTAGGCAGATGGGAAGGCTAAGATACAGAGCGAATAGTCTACTTACCCAGCACTTAGGTCTTTCCAGGCCCCATGTCTGGGTCTCTACCAATGTCTGCATTGTTACAGGCACACACCCAGTCATTGCAACTACCTGGAGGCAGGGAAGCTGTCCTTTTTACAGGGGAGGAAACTGAGACTAAGAGAGGTGAAGTAGCTTGTGGAAGGCTTTATAGCTAGGAGCCAGAATCCAACTCTAGCCTGGCTCCGTTTCCTGCCAAGGTCCTTCTGGGAGTCAGTGGCTGGGCTAGAACCTAGGTCTCCTGGCTTCCATCCTGCCTGGCCTGTGGTTCCTTTTCCCTGAGCAGACTACACAGCTGCTGAGCAGAGGGGCAGTGGATCAGGCAACCCCAGACATTGGGGATCTCTCTCTGGAGGAAGACAGGATAGACTTTGTCTTAATCCTGCCATGGGTTGTGTCTTGGGAGCCACTGTCACCCCATCTGCCTGGTCTCACTTCCTTGAGTGTGTCTCTGAGGAGACTGAAGTCTGGAGAGGGACAGTCTTGGTGAGGGCCACACTGCAAGTCAGTGGCAGAGTGGGGAGCAGTCTAGGGATCGTGCACCAATTCCCTTCCTTTTTCCTACCCAGCATTGCCTCTTCTCCTGCAGGGGTGGAAAACCCTCTAGAGCCTTATCTTTTAACCACCTCCCTGCCCTGTGTGAGCTCGCCTCAGCCCAGACCCCAGTTATTGGCCAAGGAGACCTTGCCTCCTGGGCCTCCTGGGGCCCAGGTGCTTGAGGGAAGGTCTTGCCTCCTCTCCCTGCCGACCTCCCTAACCCCTCCCCAGCTCTAGAGCAGCAGGCGGAGCAGCTGAATGCTAAGATTGAGAAGACCCAGGAGGAAGTGAACTTCCTGAGCACTTACATGGACCATGAGTATTCCATCAAGTCTGTCCAGATCTCCACCCTTGTGCGCCAGCTGCAGCAGGATAAGGACAGTCAGCAGGTGGGGGACCCCCTGCCCCTCCCCCACCAGACTGTGTGGGAGTCCGGGCTGGTGGCCAACACCCTTCTGCTGGATCCCAGGATGAGCTGGATGACCTCAGTGAGATGCGCAGAAAGGTCCTGGAATCCTTGTCTGACAAGATTCAGAAGAAGAAGAAAAAAATTCTGAGTTCTGTGGTGGCAGTGAGTAGCCAGTTGCTGTGTGGGAGGCGGGGGATCCAGGTCCCACTCCCACCCCCTCTTCTTCCCCATCCTCTGCCTCCAGGCCCACTGCAGCCCTATTGCTCTCTACCATGTTTTGTTGCCCAGGAAGAGGCACCTGGGGGCCAGACCTCTTCTTCCTCCACAGAAAACCCAGCGTCCCTATGAGGAGGCTCTCCTACAGAAGATATGGGAAAGCCAGGACTTCCTGAAATGCATGCAAAGGTTCAGAGAAGTGCGTGGGCGAGGAAGGTGGTGGTCCCTGTAGGGCAGCAGTGGGTGGGCAGTCCCCACAGCCTGTGGGAATGGGTCAGGCTTCTCCTGATCTGGCACTCAGGAGGTCTCTAACTTTGGTGTTGGCCTGCCTCCTTGCCGGTGCCATTACTGTCACTTGTCTTTCATCTGGGAAGGTGATTGGCACCGACCTAGGCCTTGCCTTGTTAGCCTGCATCGCTGGCTATGAACCATTTGCAACATCATCAAGCATCACCTATTCAGCCATTAGCCACCTTGCATCTTTACCCCTTGCTTCTTGTCACTGCCCACCACCCATTATCAGTGTTAATGAACCACCATCACTGCCTTCTTGAATTAATTTTCATTATCTTGCCTCTTCATCGGTTTTTAATGTACATGCCCTTCGCTATCTCTGCCAGCCTCCATTTATTCCCATGATTGAGCATTCTCCGCCAGTTTGTAACCTGTCTCCATTCTCCATGATCCCTCACCTGTTTCAGCACCACTGAATATTGTCACTCACTTGGAAGCCAGCCCCACCCTGCATGGGGAGGTCCCCTCTCTGGAGTCCAGCAAGTCCCAATAACAGAGCCCATACCATTTCCCCAGATAGCTTTGCTCCTTGTTCATTTTGACCTTTCTCCCTTTGGTTGGGGCGCGTTTGGCTTCTCCCTTCTCCCCTGCTATGCCTTTCCTCTCAGTTTATTGACCAGTTTGAGGAGAACATGCCCGTATTAAGGGCCGAGGTGGAAGAGCTCCAAGCCCAGACCCGGGAACCCCGAGAGGTCGTGTTTGAGGATGTTCTGCTTCGGAGACCCAAGTATGTGATGTTTTTGCCACTGCTTCTTAAACCAGCCACACTCTGAGCTCACAGAGGCTCTCTGTTCTTGGGGAAGGCATCCTGGTGTGGATGGCAGAACCCTGTACAGGGAGGGAGGGGCCTAGGTTTCCGCCTTGGACCTGCCACTGACCAGGGGCAGATGTGACCTTTCCCATCTCTGCAGAGGCCTCCGATTCCCATCTGTACACAGCGGACTGGGTTGTGTAATCTCTAAGGGCTCTTCTAGTTCCCAGATTCCATGTATCAACCAAGTGGGTGCAGCCCTTCACTTCTGGGTTCTTGAGGAAGGCAGAGTTGAGTGGGGTGGTCGGCTTCAGGGAAGAATAGCCTGGAAGACACTCCACAAGGAGAGAAGGATGTCCTCTTCACTTGGCAGGTTTTTGGGCCCTAGAAACCAATTCTTTGCCTACCCTCCCTTGGGGCAAGCCCTCTGCGATTGGGTTGGGGGTCCCCCAGGCTTACCTCTCCATGATGACACCACAGGACCATGTGCGGCAGAGCCTAGCATTTGCAAATTCTTTAATTTTTCTTCTTCGTCTGTATCTGTCTCTCCCTCCTATCCTTTTCCTTCCTTCTACTCTCCTATTGCCATCTCTTCCTTTTCTTCTTTTTCTAAAAAAAAAAAACCCCAAAACAAAATGCTATTGGATTTATGAAGTGCCTCTGAATGCCAGGCACCGTGTGAATGAAAACAGTTCTCGGCCCTGCCCTCATGGAGCCAAAGAGGGAACTGTATGTGAGTCGATAATGAGCCACAAGTAACTGTGGAGTTGCAGCGGAGCCTGGAGCTGCAGAGTAGAGTACATGCCACTGTGAAAGTGACTCTTAGGGGCCGGGTGCGGTGGCTCACGCCTGTAATCTCAGCACTTTGGGAGGCCGAGGTGGGTGGATCATGAGGTCAGGAGTTCAAGACCAGCCTGGCCAAGTTGGTGAAACACCGTCTCTACTAAAAATACAAAAATTAGCCGGGCATGGTGGCGGGTGCCTGTAGTCCCAGCTGCTTGGGAGGCTGAGGCAGGAGAATTGCTTGAACCTGGAATGCAGAGGTTACAGTGAGCTGAGATTGTGCCACTGCATTCCAGTCTGAGCGACAGAGCGAGACTCCATCTAAAAAAAAAAAAAAAAAAAAAAAAAAAGTGACTCAGGACAGTGAGTCTGGGCAGTAAAGAAGGTTTTCCTGAGGATGTGACATTTGAACTGAGGCCTGAAGGATGCATAGAAACTCACTAGGCAAAGGAGACTGATGGGGGAGCTGAAGGAAGAGCAATTCTAAGGAGTGGTGCTAGGGTCTCTAGGGGATGTAATAAATAGTCACCTGTTGTCTTTACCTGAGCTCTGAACACAGTGAATGAGATTGAAAGAGGTAAGGTGCATGTGGGCCAGGTTATCACCTTTGTTTGGGTGAAGCTGATTTTAGAGACTGTGGCTTATATTTCTAGGCATGTTGGTCTCTGAATAGTGAACCCAGAATTAGGCAAATTGAACCACCCAGTTGTGGTGGAGCTGGACCCACGTGGAGCCAGGCCTTGGGGCAGAGAAGAGTGGAGTCCTTTTGGGTTGCTCGCTGCTGAGAGAGGAAGGGACTGGGCTCCCTGTGTCCCCTTCCTCTCCTCACACTCACCATTCCGGTGGTCATACCCCCTTTCCTAAAGCAGAATATGAAGGGGCAGAGAGAGGCCAGGAGCAATACACTCATGGATGCCCTTCCACACGGAAGGGAACACTAGGAGTAAAGAAGCAGATTTTCACTCCTAAAAAGTGGAAATGGCACGCTGTTAACCAGAGCGTCTCTAACTGGAACATGCCCAGGAAACACCTGGAGATCATGTTAAAAAGCAGATTCCAAGTCAGTAGGTCTCAGTTGGGCTCACGATTCTGCATTTCTTTCTTTTTTTCTTTTTTTTTTTTTTTTTTTGAGACAGAGTCTCACTCTGTCTCCCAGGCTGAAGTGCAGTGGCGCCATCTCAGCTCACTGCAACCTCCACCTCCTGGGTTCAAGTGATTCTCTTGTCTCAGCCTCCTGAGTAGCTGGGATTACAGGTGTGCACCACCATGCCTGGTTAATTTTTTTATCTTTAGTAGAGATGGGGTTTTACCATGTTTGCCAGGCTGGTCTCGAACTCCTGACCTCAAATGATCCACCTGCCTTGGCCTCCCAAAGTGCTGGGATTACAGATGTGAGCCACCATGCCCAGCCTGATTCTGCATTTCTAAGAAGCTCCCGGGTGATGCTTATGCTACTGCTCTATGAACCAACTACATGTTGAGCCTTGAGCTGTGAAGGAGCTGTGGTTGGAAGGAACTTGGCATTGACACGGAGCTGGTGAGGCCAGTGTGGTTGGAACGAAGAGTGACAGGGAGAGTGGCGGGAAGGGAGCAGGGCAACTCAGCCCCAGGGACCTCTGTGCAGTGCCCTATAGGGCCAGATTTTCTGCCTGATCCCAGAAGCAAAGGATCTTAAGCCACGTGGTGACATGATCAGATTTGTATTCCGAAAGAGTCAGTTTGAAAAGAGCATGGTGGGCTAGGTGTGGTGGCTCATGCCTGTAATCTCAGCATTTTGGCAGGCCAAGGTGGGAGGATTGCTTAAGTCCAGGAGTTCGAGACCAGCTTGGGCAACATGGTGAAACCCCATCTCTACAAAAAATACAAAAATTAGCCAGGCATGGTGGTGTGTGCCTGTAATCCCAGCTACACGGAAGGCTGAGGCAGGAGGATTGCTTGAGTCCTAGAGGCAGAGGTTGCAGTGTGCCAAGATGGTGCTACTGCACTCCGGCCTGCGTAATAGAGTAAGACTCTTTCTTAAAAGAAAATAAAAGAGCATGGGGATGAGATTGGCAAGGAGCCAGAGTGGCAGCTGGAATTCTACTGGGTGTGAGGGCAGTTGTCCAGGGGAACATGGGGAGTGGCCTGGCCAAGTGTGTGGCAGAAGAGGTGGGAGAAATAGATGGATTGGAGAAATATTTAGGAAGGCAAGAAGGACTTGTATGACTTGGGACGTACAGGAAAGGGAGATATCAAGAATAATCCCTGGGCTCCTGACTTTTGTAATGGAGTGGTGGTGGTGTCAAATGCAGAGATTGGGAAGGCTGGGATGGGGTGAGGGATGTGTATGTAGGCACAGTCAAAAGTTTACTTGGAGGCAGGCATGGTGGCTCACACCTGTAATCCCAGTGCTTTAGGAGGCTGAGGAAGAAGGATCGCTTGAGGCTGGGAGTTCGAGACCATGGGACAACATAGTGAGACCTCCATCTCTACAAAAAATAAAACAATTAGCCATATGTGGTGGCACATGCCTGTGATCCCAGCTATTTGGGAGGCAGGAGGATTGATTGAGGAGTTCCAGGCTACAGTGAGCTGTGATCGCACTACTGCATTCCAGCTTCAGTGACCGAGTGAGACCATGTCTCAAAACAAAACAAAAAACCATACAGTTGACTTGGACAGTAAGTTTGGTTTACATGAGGTATCAAGGTGGAGTCATTGGGTGGGCAATTGACAAGATAAGTGTAGACCTCAGAGGACAGATATTGGCTGGAAGTAGAAATTTAGGTGTTGCCAGCATAGAGATGCACTTTTTTATAAAACTATTATTATGAAAAATTTCAAATATAAAGAAAAGTAGAGAGAATGATACAATGAATAGCCAGTTTTGCCCATCTAGATTTAAAAATTGTTTTTTTTTTCCCATATTGGTTTCATATTCATTCTTTTTTTTTTTTTTTTTTGGTGAATGGTATTGTAAATTGCAAGTATCCTGACATTTCCTGCCTAAATACTTCATGTGTATCAGTAGATTATTGAAACTATGAGAGAGGATGGTCTCCTTGGAAGAGAGAAAGAATAAAAGAGAGTGTAATTCTTCAACCTCTTAAATATTTGTGCTGGTCCCTGCGATGGGGAATATATTGCTGATGGGAATCCATCTCTCTTGCTACTTTCATGGAAATAATAATGCCTGTCATTCACTGAACACTTATTATATGCTGGCATGGTCTCATTTAATCTTTCCACCAATAACTGAGGTTAGGATTTTTTTTTTTTTTTTTTTGAGACGGAGTCTTGCTTTGTCACCCAGGCTGGAGTGCAGTGGCGTGATCTCGGCTCACTGCAAGCTCCATCCACCTTCTGGGTTCATGCCATTCTCCTACCTCAGCCTCCCAAGTAGCTGGGACTACAGGCACCTACTACCATGCCCAGCTATTTTTTTTGTATTTTTAGTAGAGACGGAGTTTCACTGTGTTAGCCAGGATGGTCTTGATCTCCTGACCTAGTGATCCGCCCACCTCGGCCTCCCAAAGTGCTGAGATTACAGGCGTGAGCCACTGTGCTCAGCCAACTGAGGTTAGGATATTAAACCCATTTGACAGATGACGAAACTGAGGCTCACCTGGGGTCTGGCACTTCAAGAGTGCTTTTCACTTAAGTGCCAACTGAAGGAGTGAGGCTGGGAGAGTAGAAATAGCTTGCTCAAGGTGACACGGGGTCAAATTATCAAACCTGTCATCCTCACTCCAAAGACAGTGATTATCTTGAGGGCCCCCAGCATTTCAGAGCTGAGTTCCTGCTGCCTCTTGACCTCAGACTTGTCAGGGGAACATTCGTCCTGCCAAACTCATTTATTTTCCATTTTTGATGTGTGTGTGTGTGTGTGTGTGTGTGTTCATGCTTGTGTATGCACATTTGGGCTTTGAGGTCACAGATAGGTCACAGATTGTATTTTCGGATTGCCCCCCAACCCAAGTAAGTACCAGAGTTCTAAAGAGCAGGGCTCCCCTGAGCGGGTGCTCCCATACCCCCACCTCTGGTCTCTCATGGCCCTCTGTGCTGCCTCCCACCAGGTGCACCCCAGACATGGATGTCGTCCTCAACATTCCTGTGGAAGAGCCGCTACCCTTCTAGATGGCAGTGCCATGGGCTGCCCTCCCCTCCTGCTCTCTCCCCAGCACCTGGAGCCTTGGATCATTTACTTCCAGGACCGAGTCTCCATTCAGACCCTGATCTACAGTCTCCCTGCTCCCTGTGCCCTTCCTCCCTCTTTCTTCCCCTCCCTCCCTCCCTTTCTCCCTCCCTCTCTCCTTCCTTCCTCCTCTCCCTCCCTCCCTCCTTTCTCTCCTTCCTCTCTTCTTCCCTTCTTTCTGGTTGGTGCTGTTGGGCCAGGTGGGAATTTCCAGTTAAATCTGCTGTTCCTTTTTTACCGATAAAGCTGGATTGACATTTGCTTTTTTGCCAGTATCTTGGGGTCCCCAGCTGGGCCTTGCAGAAGATACGGTGGCAACGAACTTCGTCTTAAGATAAGGGGTGGGCAGCTGTGCTAACTGCATCTGGGGCTCAAAACTTCTCCAGAGGAAGTGCTGGAGCAACCCCCTGCCTGAGTCTCCATGGCTCTGTGGCTCTGGGCCACTCCCTCCTGGTGCAGTTGGGAGCCCAGCTTCTCTCCACTCTGTGCCCAGACCTGTTGCGGGCATTGTGGAGGCTGACAGGCTTATTGAGTTTAATACCCCTGGGAACTTGCTAGGCCTTCAGTGCTTGGAACAACTCAGAAGGGCTACTCTGGCTCCAGAACTTCCTGAAGGCTCAGCTGCAATTACCCTTGGGCCTGCATTGCAGCTGGACTTCTCCCTGTGCCCAATCCTGCATACTTCTGTCTTCCTCAGTTGTTGGTTCCAAGAGCACTCATTGATCAACGTTGTACACCCTACACTCCATCTCAGAGTTGGCCTCTCTGGGGATCTAGGTTGCTACAACCCCCAAGAGACTCTGGTCACTCACAGATCCACTTTGTGTTAAGAGACTTTTGGTTAGAGGTAACAAAACAACCAAATCACATTGGCCTAAACTATGAAGGGCTCAGATCAATAAATAGCTTAGATGAGGCTTTATCCAGAAATCAAGTGATGGCACTAAGGACTTGGTTTCTATTTATCTACTTTGTTTTCTGAGGTGTTGCCCTTTCCTTAAGGTCAGCACCGCTTGTGGCCCCAATATGCCAGCATCTCCCAGGGTTGTGCAGGTCCTTGTACATGTCCTGTTGGAAAGAGAGAGACTGACTGTGTCCCAGAATTTTTAGCCAGTGTATTAAGATTCACTATAATTGGACTGGGCACAGTGGCTCACGCCTGTAATCCTAGCACTTTGGGAGGCCGAGGCAGGTGGATCACTTGAGGTCAGGAGTTTGAGACCATCCTGGCCAACATGGCAACACCCTGTCTCTACTAAAAATACAAAAATTAGCTGAGCATGGCAGCAGGCACCTGTAATCCCAGCTACTCAGGAGGCGCTTGAACCTGGGAGGCAGAGGTTGCAGTGAGCTGAGATTGTGCCACTGCACTCTAGTCTGGGTGACGGGATGAGACTCCATCTCAAAAAAGAAAAAGAAAAAAGATTCACTCTAATTGAACCAGCTTATATTACATGCCCATCTTGAGCCGGTCTTGGAGGTGGAGCATGTCTGCTGGTTTAGTTCAGGTCACCGGCTCTACCTTGGAGCAGGGAAGGGATGGTTAAGGTGGAACACGTGACCTAGGTTGAGCCAACAGATACTCCCCAGAGTCATATGGATCTCCAAGCAGAAATGGACCATGTTGAATACAATAGCAAACACTTCAATAGAACCTACTTTATGCTTTACATGTATCGACTCACTACATCCTCATAGCAACAACCCTATGAAATAGGTATTGTTATTTTCATTTTACAGATGAAGAAACCAAAGGATGAAAAGGCAAAGTGATTTTTTCAAAGTCACCAGGTTACTAAGTGACAGAGGCAGTTTGCTCTTAACCTCTGTATAATCAGGAGCTCAGCTGAGCAGGAGAGAGCTGAACTGCCAAGTGCTGGAGTAGCTGAGTAATGATGGCCTGGCATGGTGGCTCATGCCTGTAATCCTCGCACTTTGGGAGGCTGAGGCCAGTGGATTGCTTGATCTCAGGAATTTGAGACCAGCCTGGGCAACATGGTGAAACACTATCTCTATAAAAAATATAAAAATTAGCTGGGTATGATGGCATGCGCCTGTAGTCCTAGCTGCTGGGGAGACTGAGGTAGGAGGATTGCTTGAGCCCAGGAGGCAGAGGTTGCAGTGAGCCGAGATCACACCACTGCACTCCAGCCTGGGTGACAGAGTGAAACCCTGTCTCACAACAAAAAAAGTCAAAATGAAAGCAATAGCCAAGCCCCAAATCTCTTATTATTACAGTACAAGGAAGAGGCTAAACCAGAGAACCCGGTTTGTTTTATTTTGTAGAACACAGATCCACCCTGTTCTCATTTCCTCATAGAATGATGCCATCTGGGGTCGGGTGGATGAGCACAGGTGTGGGGTTGGTCTCACTGCAGAAGAGCTTCCAACAAAAGGCTCCTGCAGTTGTACAGACCTGGGGGCCAGGGATGGGGTGGGGAAGGCAGAGTGGGAAAAGTTCTGAGTCAGCATGGAGGAAAGTGTCTTCAAGGATTCCCCACTCCCCATGATAAGGAGGTCGTGGCCAAAGGCCTACCCCACTGCAATGAAGACGTGTCTGAATGAAGACCTGGGGTAGGAGCGGAGATGTGTGTGAGAGGTCGACTGTCCAGGAGGCTTGAGTCTGTGCCTGCAACTGTCTTTAAAGACTGCAATGCATCCGCTGTGCACAGCTCAGCTGTGAGGCCTGCCAGGTAAAACCTATCGTTGCCTGTGGTTGAGCTGAAAAATCACACATAGGTTTTTAGCCAGGAGCTGGACTTTTTGTGAAGGGATGCATAAGTTCAGAGGAGGAAAGCCAAGAAAGGACGCCTGGACATAGATTCCCTCACATTGCATGTAGCCCTCATGCCTCCAAATGCGCCAGAGAGTGACCCCACACATGTACAGCAACTGCACGTGGGTATCTTCCCAGGTACTCAGAGCCGTGTGTGCAGCTCTCACAGGCAGATACACCTGCATGCACATGCACATGGATGCATCCTGGGACTGTTTCTTTTTTTCTTTTTTGAGATGAAGTCTTGCTCTGTCGCCCAGGTTGGAGTGCAGTGGCATAATCTCTGCTCACTGCAACTTCCGCTCCCTGGGTTCGAGTGATTCTCCTGCCTCAGCCCCCCTATTAGCTGGGATTTCAGGCGCCTATCACCACTCCCAGCTAATTTTTGTATTTTAGTAGAGACGGGGTTTCACCATGTTGGCTAGGTTGGTCTCCAACTCCTGATCTCAGGTGATCCACCCGTCTTGGCCTCCCAAAGTGCTGGGATTACAGGTGTTAGCCACCGCGCCCGGCCCAAAATTTATCATTTTAACCATGATAAGTGTACAATTCAGTCACGTTAAGTACATACACAGTGTAGCGTAACCACTACCACTATCTATTTCCAGAAAGTTTTCATCATCCTAAACAGAGATTTTGCACTCATTAAATTATAACTTCCCATTTCCTCCTCCTGCTCCCAGCCCCTTGGTAACTTATTTTTTCGTTTATTTTGAGACAGGGCCTCATTCCGGTCATCCAGGCTAGAGTGCGGTGTCATCATCACAGCTCACTGCAGCCTCAACTTCCCAGGCTCAGGTGATCCTCCCACCTCAGTCTCATGAGTAGCTGGGACTACAGGCAGGTGCCGTCATGCCCTGCTATTTTTTTTGTAGTTTTAGTAGAGATGGCGTTTCGCCATGTTCCCCAGGCTGGTCTCGAACTCCAGGACTCAAGCGACCCACCTGTCTTGGCCTCCCAAAATGCTGGGAATACAGGTGTGAGCTATCATGCCTGGCCAGTACTTTCTTCTTCTTTTTTTAAATTTCTTAAAATTTTTATTAATCACTTACAAGTAACAAAAACCCAATATATATTAACACATAAATAACATTTTTGACAAATAGCTATTTTTATTTTTTTCACATATTAAAACCTACTAAAAACCATTTTTCTAACCAACAACAACAAAAATCATTAGTGAGAAGAGTACTGCTGCTTTACATTTCTCCAAATCTCTTCAATGTCCGACAACAGACGAAAGCTGGATTCTCATCTGCTTTTGCATTCAGCCTATTACAATATCACACCAGATAGCCTCTTGAAAACTCCTCTGCACACTCATGAAAAAATGAGAGTGAAAAAGATAAACGATGGTCGGGCATGGTGGCTCACACCTGTAATCCCAGTACTTTTTGAGGCTGAGGTGGGCAGATCACTTGAGCTCAGGAGTTCCAGACCAGCCTGGCCAACATGGTGAAACCCCGTCTCCACTAAAAATACAAAAATTAGCCAGGTGTGGTGGCGGGTGCCTGTAATCCCAGCTACTCAGGAAGCTGAGGTAGGAGAATTGCTTGAACCTGTGAGGCGGAGGCTGCAGTGAGCTGAGATCGTGCCACTGCACTCTAGTCTGGGCAACAGAGCAAGACTCCTTCTCAAATAAAAAAAAAGAAAAACAATAAAAGATGAAATGATGTCTTAGTGTTATAAAAATAGCTTTGACCTAGAATACCCTTGAAAAGCTCTTGAGGGCCCCAGACCACACTTTGAGAACTGCTCTAGACGAATCTCTTCATTTTACATATAAGGACTATGGACCTCAGAGAGAGTAAGTGAGAAATTCAACATCACACAGCCTGTTAATAGTAGGATACAGACATTAGATGGTTTGTCTCACTTCTCTTGGTTTAGGTTCTCAATTGAAAACCTGGGAAATATACCCTAATGACATATCCTATTCCCTGTAAGTTGCAAAGATTGTCACAATATATTACCCTCCCCACCATTTCTTTAATAAAAGAGGTAATCAACAAACTTGGTAAATTTTGCAACAGGCATACTGTGTTTGAATCTAAACTACAATATTTGAATTTGGGTCTGTATTTGAACAGAAATACTAAGGCAAATTCGACTGCATCCTACTCCATGCAAGCTAGTAATGACAAACCGCACAGTACATATCATAGGTAAATATGGAAAGCAAATTACCCATAATATCAGTATTTATCATATATTCTGTGTCTGGAATACAATTCAATAACATATTTCAGAAAAATTTTCTCAAGTACTAGCTGAAAGGGTGGTGGGTACATTAAGAGACTGCAAATAAATTGGCAATCACAGGAACTTTTTTAAGATAAAATGGAGTTGTTCTGAAATGTAGATATTTTTCATTCCTTAACCAGACCTTATTTTTGTCTTTTTAAAGAAAATCGAGAAATCTTCTCAGCCACCTAGAGATGATTTCCTTTGTATCCCACCAGATGGTTCAACTCTTCTACAAAT